TTTGATGGGAATCCCATTGAATCTGTAGATAGCTTTTGGTAAGATTGCCTTCTTTCTGTGTTAATGCTACCTATCCAAAAGCATGGGGATCTTTCTATTTTCTGATATCCTAGTCAATTTTGTTCTTCAAGGACCTAAAGTTTTTGTTACACAGGTCTTTCACTCATTTGGTTAGAGTTATCCCAAGATATTTTATGTTGTTTGTGGCTATTGTGAAAGGTGTTGTTTCTCTGATTTCTTTCTGAACCCATTTATCATCTGTATATAAGAGGGCTACTGATTTTTTTGAGTTAGTCTTTTTTTTCTCAATATATGTTTTATTTAAATTAGAAACGTGAATGTTTCACATGTCAGTCCCAGCTCCCTCTCCCTCCTCTTCTCCCTTGTCCCTCCACCAGTCCCCCAGCCCCTCACCTAATCACCACATCATTCCCCAGGGAGGGTGAGACCCTCCTTGGGGGCATCTCGAAAGTCTGTCATTTCATCCAGGGCAGGACCTAAGCCCTTCCCCATGTGTCCAGGCTGAGAGAGCATTCCTCTATTTGGAATGGGCTCCCAGAGATCATTCATAAACCATGGTAAACACTGATCTACTACCCAAGGCCCCAGTGATTTCTGTGGCCTCCTCCCTGGCACTACATTCATGGAGTCTGGATTAGTTCCCTGTTGGCCTCTCATCCATCAGTTTGGGATTCAAGAGCTTCTCCTTATCCGGTCAGCTGTCTTTGTGAGTTTCTTTATCATGGTCTTGACCCCTTTGCTCATCACTTCTCTATCTCTGTCACTAGGTTCCAGGAGTTCAGTTCAGTGTTTAGCTGTGGGTATCTGTCTCTGCTTCCATCAGTCCCTGGATGACGGTTCTGGGATGGCATATAGGATAGTCATCAACCCTATCATCAAGGAGGGGCTATTAGTGTAGTCTCTCCACTATTGCTTAGTTTGCCAGTTGGTGTTATCCTTGTATATCTCTGGAGATCTCACTAGTTTCAGCTCTCTCCTCAAGCCTATAATGACTCGATCTATCATGGTGTGTCTCACCCTGCTCTCCTTGAGTTAGTCTTATATCCTGACACATTACTGAAGGTGTTTATCAGTTCCCTGGTAGAATTTTTGGGGTCATTTATGTATATTATCATATCATCAGCAAATATCGAAAGTTTGACTTTTTCCTTTCTAGTTTGTATCCCTTTGATCTCCTTTTGTTGTCTCATTGCTCTAGTTAGAACTTCTAGTACTATATTGGATAGATATGGAGAGAATAAACAGCCTTGTCTTGTTTCTTATTTTAGTGGAATTGCTTTGAGTTTCTCTCCATTTAGTTTTATGTTGGCTGTTGGCTTGCTGTATATTGCCTTTATTATGTTTAGGTATGTTCCTTGTATCCCTGATGTCTCTGAGACCTTTATCATGAAGGGGTGTTGAATTTGTCAAAGATGATCATGTGTTTTTTTTCTTCCAGTTTGGTTGGGAGACTTTTGATAGCTGTTTCTATTTTCTTAGGGGTTATAGGTCTATTTAATTTATATATCTGGTCTTGTTTAATTTTGGTATGTGGTACTTATCCAGAAAATTGTCCATTTCCTTTAAATTTTCCAATTTTTTGTAGTACAGGTTATTTAATTATGACCTAATGATTGTCTGGATTTTCTCAGTGTCTGTTGTTATGTCTCCTTTTTAATTTCTGATTTTTTAATATGGATATTCTCTCTCTGCCTTTTGGTTAGTTTGGATAAAGTTTTATCTAGTTGATTTTCTCAAAGGACCAACTATTTGCCTCATTGATTCTTTGTATTGTTTTCTTTGTTTCTGTTTTATGGATTTCAGCCCCCAATTTGATTATTTCCAGCATTCTGTTCCTCTTGGGTGAGTTTACTTGTTTTTGTTCTAGAGCTTTCAGTTGTTCTGTTAATTCACTAGCGTGGGATTTCTCCAGCTTCTTTATGTAGGCACTTAGTGCTGTGAACTTTCCTCGTAGCACTGCTTTCATTGTGTTTCATAAGTTTGGGTATGTTGTGTGGTTGTTTTCACTGAACTTTAGGAAGTCTTTCATTTCTTATTTCTTCCTTGACCCAGTGGTGATTCAGTTGAGCATTGTTCAGTTCCATGAGTTTGTGGACTTTCTGTCATTAGTGTTGTTGCTGAAACTTTAAGCCATGATGATCTGATAAGATACAGGGTGTTACTCCAGTTCTTTTGTATCTGTTGAGGTTTGCTTTGTTACCAAGATATGGTCACTTTTATAGATGGCTCCAGGAGGTGCTGAGAAGGTATATTCTTTTGTGTTTGGGTGAAATGTTCTGTAGATGCCTGTTAAACCCATTTGCGTCATGACATCTGTTAGTTCCCTTGTTTCTTTGTCAAGTTTCTTTCTGGCAGACCTGTCCAGTGGTGAAGGAGGGTGTTGAAATCTCCCATTATTGGTGTGTGAGACTTGATGTGTGATTTAATAGTAATGTTTCTTTTATAAATGTGGGTGCCCTTTTATTTGAGGCATAGATGTTCAGAATCAAGACTTCATCTTGATGGTTTCTTCCTGTGACAAATATGAAATGTCCTTTTTCATCTCTTTGATTAATTTTAGTTTGAAGTCTGTTTTGTTAAATATTAGGAGAACTACACTAGGTTGTTTCTTAGGTCCATATGATTGGAAAAATCTCTTCTCAACCCTTTACTCTGAGGCAATGCTGTTTTTGAAGTTGAGGTGTGTTTCTTGTATGCAGCAGAAGGATGGATTCTGTTTTCTTATCCATTTTGTTAGCATGTGTCCTTTTATAGGCAGATTGAGTCCATTGATGTTAAGGGATGTTACTGATTAGTGAGTGCTAGTTTCTGTTATTTTTGTTTTTCTTGTTGGTAATGGCATTGTGTGTGTGTTTCCCTTCTTTGGGATTAGCTGGTGTGGGGTTATCTATTGCCTGTGTTTTTGTGGATGTAGCTAACTTTCTTGGGTTGGATTTTTCCTTCTAGTACTTTCTGTAAGGCTGGATTTGTAAATAGGTGTAGTTTAAATCTGCTTTCATTAAGGAATATCTTGTTTTCTCTGTGATGATTGAAGGCTTTGCTGGATCTAGTAGTCGGGCTGGCAACTGTGCTTTCTTTTTTTTTTTTTTTTTTTTTTTGGTTTTTCGAGACAGGGTTTCTCTGTAGCTTTGGAGGCTGTCCTGGAACTCACTTTGTAGACCAGGCTGGCCTCGAACTCACAAAGATCCACCTGCCTCTGCCTCCCGAGTGCTGGGATTAAAGGCGTGCGCCACCAACGCCCGGCGCAACTGTGCTTTCTTAGTGTCTGCATAACACCTGTCCAAGACCTTCTGACTTTCATTGTTTCCATTGAGAAGTCAGGTGTATTTCTGGTAGGTCTGCCTTTATTTGTTCTTTGGCCTTTTTCTTTTGCAACTTTTAATTTTTTAAAAAAAATTCTGTATGCTTAGTGTTTTGACTAGTATGTGATGAGGGGACTTTCTTTTTGATGATCCATTTAGTGTATTTGGTGTTCTGTAAGCTTCTTATACTTTCATAGGTGTGTCCTTCTTTAGGTTGGGAAAGTTTTCTATGATTTTCTTGAATATATTTTCTGTGCCTTTGAACTGAACTACTTCTTCTATCCCCATTATTCTTAGGTTAGGTCTTTTCATGGTATCTCAGACTTCCTGAATATTTTGTGTTAAGTATTTGTTGGGTTTAACATTTTCTTTGACTGATGAATCTATCTCTGTAGTATCTTCAATTCCTGAAATTCTCTCTTCCATGTCTGTATTCTCTTGCTTACGCTTGCATCTGTAGTTCCTGATTTCCCATTTCCAGAATTCCATTGGTTTATGTTTTCTTTATTGCCTCTATTTCATTTTAAGTCTTGAAACATTACCTTCACCTGCTTGATTGCTTTTTCTTTAAGGGATTTGTTGATTTCTTCCAATTTTTTTGTTTGTCTTTTCCTCCATTTCTTTAAGGGAATTCTTTATTTCCTCTTTAAGGGCCTCAATCGTCTTCATAATGCTTCACCTGCAATGGGATGTTTGGGTTTTGTTGCTGTAGAACCACTGGTTTCTGGTAGTGCTATATTGTTCTTTGTGTTGTTGAGTTATTCTTACACCGTTGTCTACCGATCTCTTGTGGAGCCTGTGCTTCAGGGGGTCCCTTTCTCCACTTGATGCAGTTGGTGGCTGTGGCTCCATTGATCTCTACCCCAGGTGTAGGTAGGGCAGCGCCTCTGGTGATTGCTCCTCCGGGTACAGGCAGGCCAAGGCTCCTCTAGGTACAGGTGGGTCTGAGGCTCAGGTGGTCGCTGATGTACAGAGAATGGTACTGGATGCTGCCTGGGACACAGGTGGCCTTTCCCACAGGGACTTCTTAAGACAGTTTCTGGAAGCTGCTGCTGTGGATGTTCCTGGGCTGTCTCCACGGGCTGCTCGGCTCTCTGATGCTCCTGGGGTTTGTTTGTTTGTTTTGGTTTTTTTAAAGATTTGTTATTTAAAAATTTGTATGTGCATGAGTGTTGGCTTGCAAGTATGTTTTTGTTTACCATATGCATGCCTGGTGCCCACAGAGGCCAGAAGGGGGCACCAGATCTCCGGAACTACCATGGGGGTATTGGGAACTGAATCAGGGTCCTCTTCAAGAGAAGCTAATGCTTTTAACCACAGAGGCATCTCCAGCCCTCTATTTTTTGCTTTTTCTTAACACAAGAGTATAGAGCAGCTCATTATCTGATGGCACAGAGTTAGTTTTCCTGCTTCTATGAGAAGATGGCTTTTGTTGTTGTTGTCCAGTCATGAATAAATAATTGTGCTCATGTGGAAGTATGTTTATCTTAAGTTCTGTGGGTGACATTGAACGAGATACAACTTTTCTTCTAGTTCTAGAATACTCAATTATAGTGCGTTATTCATTTGTAGGCATAGTTTTTTGATGCTATGCTTTATGAACATGGTTATGGTAAATATAAACAAACAGTAGAAAGTAATTTTGTGTTTTTCACCTTTTTAAACCCTTCTAACCAGAAAGATGTATTTCAGCTGAAAGACCTGGAGAAGCTTGCTCCCAAAGAGAAAGGCATCAGTAAGTACTACAGAGGTGGTGGATGGTGGGGACTTGGGAATCCGGAACTCAGTCGTTCTGCAGTGGTCTTTCCCTTTATGGTCAATACAAACATCTAGAAGTGAGTATATCTGCAACTGACCCATGTACACTTCGTGGCTGTTAGTCGGTTCTTGTGTTTGAACCCTCTGCCCTGGAACAATTAAAAGAGAATAAATACACCTTTGCCCACATGCACACTTATTTTGTATTTTATTTCAAAAGAAGTAAGAATTGTTTCATTTATTTTGTAGCATTTGTCAAATGTGATTTGCTATCTTTACATAGTGTATTAGTTTCATGATGCCGTATCAACAATTTATTATGAATTTGATAGCTTAAAGAAACAAACTTGCCAGGCATTGGTGGCACATGCCTTTAATCCCAGCACTCAGGAGGCAGAGGCAGGTAGATCTCTGTGAGTTCAAGACCAGCCTGGTCTACAAGAGCTAGTTCCAGGACAGCCTCCAAGGCAATACAGAGAAACCCTGTCTCGAAAAACCAAAAAATAAAAAAAAATAAAAAGAAAAGAAACAAACGTATTTTCTCTCAGCCCTAAAGGCAGAAGGTTGACATCAAAGTATAGGCAGGGTTGGTTCCCTCAGAGACTGAAGTACAGGTGGTTTTCATCTTGAGGTCCTTAATTTTCAGTGGCGGGGCATTTGTTTGCTAGTAAGACTTTCCATTGCTATGGTTGAATGCCTGAAAGACAGCTTCAAAGAAGGATTTGGTTTTGCTCACTGTTTCAGAGGATCCAAACTTCCCCCTCCCCCAGGAAGACAGGTAAGGAGAGCAGCTCTCATCACTGAGCTAAGGAAGAAAACATTGTAATTTTCTGTTCTAAAGTCACCACTGTAAACATTTTGGCATATTTTGAAGTTTTGTATGTAAAGATCTGACATTCTGAGAGGGAATCATTCTGCATATACAGTTTTGTGTCTCTGGTTACCTGTGTGTGGATGGGTGTGCTGAGGACTGACCCAGGGCCTCACCACCCATCAACCAGATTGTCTAGAGATACTGCTACTAAAAATATTGTACAATTACATTGTTCTCTGCTCTGGACTGAATTGTGTTCTTCCCCAGTTCATATGTTGAATCCCCAGCCCTTCTGGAAATAGGATTTTCATCAGGGCATTAAGTTAAAAGGTGAGTGTAGTAATACACTGTGTAGTCTCAGCACTTGGAAATCCTGAGTTTGAGTTAGCTTGAGCTCCATGGTGGGAGACTGTCACAGTCAAATGCAGAAACAATTGACTATGTGAGGTTTTAAGAATAGGGCTCTAATTTTAAGATGGGCAGGGGGTGTTGATTTGTATATGTCTCCTGAGGAAAGGCCACCCATAACAAGAACACAGGCTGTCCACACAACAGGCAAGCATCCTCACCAGTAACTGAATTGGGCGCTATCTTGTTCTTGTTGCTGGAACTGTGGGGTTGGGAACTGAACATGTCCTCAGGCTTCTTAAGCCAGTGCTCTCTGGCTGCATCTTAACTGCTGTTTAAGCACCTGGTCTATGGGGTTTGGTTATGGGACCCAAGCAAACTAAAACTCTGTTCATATATTTTATTTCACCTCTCATGTTACTTTAGACTATATCTGTAGAAGTAAAACAGAAAATAAAGGCTTGTGTAGTTCTTAAAATTTGAACATGTAGTCTTAAATTGCTTTCAGGAAAGGCTTGGCCAGTTTATGTTTACACTGACTTTGCATTTCTTTTTCAGTATTGGGGGTTATACCCAGGGCTCTGTGTGTGCTAGGCAAGTACTCTGTCATGGAGTCTCTCTACTGATTTTATTTTTAGAATCCTTTGATTTTCATTTCAGTTTGGATGAGTAGAGTTGAATGTTTTCCACATTTGGTGTTGATTTTATTTATTAGATCTTTAAATTTTAAATAAGTTTTATAGCTAGAGATCTGTTCTAGGGAAAATTTAAATGGATATTAAAATAGGGATATAGTTTTTGGTACCTAGAAAGTAAACATTATTAGTATATTCCGATTTTAAATATTAGCTCTAACTATTGGAACTAGGTTGTTTCTTTATTGAGTAATCTTTTACAACTTTTAGTTTTCTTCATGGAAGGTAATACATGCTTATTTTGGGGGAAAAATAAATAAGAAAGTGAGAATCGCTGCTGTCTGCCATCTGAACTCCTGTCGCATTAATACATGCTGACTCTTCTGTATTACACATTCTATACAGTGCAACATGTGTTTATCTGTCGCATTAATACATGCTGACTCTTCATTCTTCTGTATTACACATGCTATACAGTGCAACATGTATTTATCCATATCAATAAAATTGTTGTATAACATTGCATTTTTAAAAAAATCCAATTATTGGGCTAGTTTCCAGGTTCTTTTGCTACTGATAAAAATGCTTTGATAAACATGTACATCCATATTTATGCTCTGTGGCTGAGTTTATAAAAGTGAAATTTATTCAAGAAGAAAAGACATGCATCTAAAGTTTTAGATATATACTTCCATATTTTCAGCCATGTTGGGAATACCAGTTTCCTTGAATTCCTTCTTCTGTCTTTGAATGTTTTTCATTTGGTAGTCCAGGAGGCGTGCCGTTTGTTTTACTTTGTCTTCACTTTAGAGTGGACTTGAAAAGGCTAGGGGTGGAGCTTAGCAATACAGCACTTGTCCAGCATGTTCCAAACCCTGGTTTCAAACGCTAGTACTAAAAGTATAGGTGTTGTTGAAATATATTGAGCATGATTATTTCTGGACCACTTTTATTTATTCTTAAATTAGCACACAAGCTGACAGGTTTCCTTATAGCATTGAGGTGTGCACTCCAGTTTGGTTAGCCTTCCTTCCCCTCCCCCACCGCATTATCCCCCTCCAAGTGCTAGGACTGTCTGCCTCCACCCATCGTCACCTTTCCACTTCATGTCTTTTGTGTCCTGATACTGTTTGCACCTTCTTTTCTACAGTTGGTTTTTCTTCCCCCACAGGCCCCTTTCTAAAATTTCATGACCTCTGCCCACACTTGCTCCCACATAATCACACAAGATCTGCATGTTAGAAAGGACATTCATTCGATGCTTGCCTTTGCGAGCTCGGGTTACCTCACTCGATAATGCACATACAGATGCCCGTTGATGTGCTAATATCTTTCTTAGTTCTTAACTGCTGTTTTGCAAGTGTTTCTCCAGTTTTTACCTGCTTTTGAATTTTATTTATGATGCTGTTAACACAGACTCTGTAAACATTTTCTCCCCAGCTGCTATGTCTGTCAAAGAGGTCCTTCAGAGCTTGGTAGATGATGGTATGGTTGACTGCGAGAGGATTGGAACTTCCAATTACTATTGGGCTTTTCCAAGCAAAGCTCTGCATGCCAGGAAACGAAAGCTGGAGACTCTGACCTCTCAGGTAAGGCACCTGGTTTTGAGGAGGTGTGCTTGGTAACACGGATGTGTTTTCCCCAATACTCATTCAGTGCCCTCTCTTTTTTTTCCAACTTGGTACATTCTTTTATTTATACTTTTAATTCTTTTTTTTTTATCAACTACAGTTCTCTCTCCTTCTCCTTCTCCCCCTTCCCCTACCTCCCTCCTACCAGCCCCCATCCACTCCTCAGAAGGGTAAGGCCTCCCATAGGGAGTCAACAAAACCCGGCACATTCAGTTAAGACAGGACCAAGCCGCCCCTCCCCCCATCAAGGCTGAGCAAGACATCCCAAACATATGGAATGGGTTTCAAAAAGCTAGCTCATGTCAGTGCTTTCTCTTAAACTTTAAAAATACGTTATTACAAAGTCTAAAGAAAATTACCATCTCTTTCTCGTAAAGCGTATGTCTAGGGTTATAGCTAGTGCTAGGATGCTTCTGTGGCTTTTGCAGGGCCCTGGGTTTCTCTCCCACACACCTCAAACATGAAACCATACAATGACCTTAGAATACTTCATGTTTTATTTTCCTACATACTACATTATTTTCTAGTATTTTAGTTCCTTTAAAAAAATCAGTAGATTCTGGGAGGACAGTCTTATGTTTAGGTTCATAGGAAACTTGATAGGAAAGTAGAAAGCACTTCTCACATCTTAAGCTTTTGTCCAGAGGTTTCCCTCAGTTCCCTATCCATAAGTCTTTCCAGAATGCACTTACCACAGTCAAGTCAGACTGTTACCTAATGAATGTAAATTCTGTGTAGACAATTATTTTTATAGAATAATAACAAAAATGTAAAATTCTGTGCATTTTCAGTACATATAAATTTTTCCCCTGAATATTTTCAGTTCCTAACTGATTGAATCAGTGTTATGTGAAACCCATGAGTACAAGGGCAAAATATAGCTGGGCTGTGGTGGTGCACGCCTTTGATCCCAGCACTCGGGAGGCAGAGGCAGGTGCATCTCTGTGAGTTTGAGGCCAGCCTGGTATACAGAGTGAGTTCCAGGACAAGCTCCAAAGATACACAGAGAAACCCTGTCTCAAAAAACCAAAAACAAAAAAACAAGGGCCAAGCACAAAGAATTTTTCTTTTGGTTAAGATTTGCTTAGTACATTCCATTTCCTTATATTTATTTTTGTGTTTTCTATTTCAGTGTGTTTCTTGTAAGAATATATAATTGGGTTTTACATTTTTATGTAAACATAATCTCTGCCTGTAAGTTAGTGTGTTAGACCACTTATATTTAGTGTTAGAATCAGTGTTCATAGTAACTAAGTGTAAGTACTTGGGTAATCTTGGTAGAAGCAAGCAAGAATGTCTTGCTAGTACCATAAATGTAACTATTTCAAAATTGAGGGTATTTGATGTTTATACTGAATGATTAAAGAATAGGGTGTTCTTATTCCCACTGCTCTGGTTTTCTTGGAATACTATGTGAGTAAAAAGATTAACAACAGGCCGGGCGTTGGTGGCGCACGCCTTTAATCCCAGCACTCGGGAGGCAGAGGCAGGCGGATCTCTGTGAGTTCGAGGCCAGCCTGGTCTACAAGAGCTAGTTCCAGGACAGCCTCCAAAGCCACAGAGAAACCCTGTCTCGAAAAACCAAAAAAAAAAAAAAAAAAAAAAAAAGATTAACAACATAAGCTGAATTTACCAAATTGTCATATAAATTAGCTGCTTTCAATATACTCCTGTCTTACTGGTCTGAGAGTTGACATCAAGTGTACTTTTGAGTCCAGCCTTCCCTGTAGTTCCTTTTAGAAGCCAGAGGTCAGAACTTAGTGTGACACACCTCTGTAAATCAGAAGTTAAGGCATGCTAACGTGTGCAGTAGGTCCTGTGCCTCCTGCTCTGAGCACTGTTCTAAGTCACAACAAGGTTTTGTTTGTTTGTTTGTTTTTCTTAAGCAGCTGGGGAAGTTTGCCAGCTTTTTAGAGACTTGCTCTCTCAGTTTGTAAAAGTAAGGTTACTTTTAGGGGTTGTGGTGAAGATGAAGTGTAGGGTTCATGCTACTCTAGGGTTTCTGCATATGGCGGCTACACGTCCAGATAAATTATGGCTCGCCCAGGCGTGTAGACTGTAAACTTATTTGTTCAATCAGAGCAAGTAAATGGGAAGTTGCATTTTACTAAAGGTGATTCAAAAAGTAGAAGTCGGTGTTGATGCTTTGTAAGAAAAATGCTTGTGCCCTGTGCTGGAAGTCCGAATTCTCTGCAGGAAAGGGAAGTGAGTGAGAAGCACTGCCTGGCCAACAGCATGAATGAGCTGAGCGCCGCCAGTGATGTAGGCTTACATCAGACACGCACTCACCCATGCTGATGGGCCATGTTCACGGCTGCAGTGAAGGATCGGCTCTGCCACAGACTGCCCAAGTATAACGCTAACTTCCTTTGAGTTTCTTGTTAATTATTTCCAGATTGGCTTGGGGTGGGGGTGGGGTAACTTCATTTCCTTTCTTTTAATGTCATTCCTTTTCTGCTGGTGACTGCAGTTGTGTCCAGGAATGTGCTTGTCTCTTGGGGATAGACATTCTTATAGTAAGTTTGAAAATTAAATGAGGGAATATATTTTTTCTCCTTTGCCTTGGTTGTATGTGTTGATCATCACTGAAGATAGTCTGAAGGACTCATGGTTATAATTGGTTTTAACTTCAACGATTTCTGGGATGACAAACTTTCAGCCCTGGGTGGCATATGTCGACCTCTCCTGAGATTTTACCATGTGCTACTTCAGCCATGCACTGTTGAAAATTCTCTGAATATTAAGAATAAGTGGTCTATGCCTAGGGAATTTGCATTTTCCTTGATAAAGTGGTTATCTAACTTACTTAGAAATAATTAACAGGAAACTATAAAAAGTTACCTATATAGTGCTTAATATGGTTGTGGCAAATGATAAGCATTGCTGTGAATTTAGTTATACAGTTTAGGACAAAGGCAAGGCTCTTAAATTTTTCTTTAAGTTGTGTTATTTACTTATTTATGTATGTAGGGGTGTATATATATATATGTGTGTGTGTGCACATGCCACAGTGCTTGTATGGAAATCAGAAAACAGCTCTCAGGGGTCAACTTTTTCCTTTCCATGTGGTCAGGTTTGGTGGCAAGTGCCTTTACCCACTGAGCAATTTCACGCCCAAAGACAAGGCTTTTATAAATATGTGTAGTTAACAGAGTTTTTAGAAACTGTTCTTTTGAGCTGAAAGTGGAGTAATTCTCAACCTAACTCATACTGCAACCTGTAATGCAGCTCCTCAGGTTGTGATTGTAATGACTCAGCGGTGTGCTCCACAAAGTCACAGCATGCTTCAGATCCCACATGAGAGGTTTATGGCGTGTGTGTGTGTGTGTGTGTGTGTGTGCGTGTGTGTGCAGAGGTGGCCTCTGAGTGAGAGTGGAAGGAAAAGAGTGGGAGTGAAGGCTTGCTTGTTGTGCATAGGACTCATGGTAGCAGTAGCAAATGGCTTGGTGGCTGATGATGATGTGTCCTGCTGTTGATGGTCCCTGAGGGCAGGGCAGTGAAAATGCCTGAATACTAACCGGTATTTATCATTAACTTACAAGAGAGTGTTAGGCTGGAGAGATGGCTCAGAGGTTAAGATCACTGGCTGCTCTTTCAGAAGACCCTGGTTCAATTCCCAGCACCCACATGACAGTTCACTACTGTCTGTAACTCCAGTTCCAGGGGATCCCACACCCTCACACAGACATACATGCAGGCAAAAACACCAATGCACAGGAAATAAAAATAAATAAAGAATGTTTTAAAAAAGACTTATTTTCCCTCCCTTTGCTTAATGTGGTTAAGATATTATTAATTTTGCTGAGAATAATTTGAGGTATAGTAATGACTGGTTCCTTTTCTCAAGTCATTGTCGTAATGACTTTGAATGTAACTTGAAGAAACCCCTAAGTGAAGTGACATTTTTCTGTCACCTAAAAGATGGAAAGAGCCGGACATTGGTGGCTCACACCTTTGATCCTAGCGCTTGGAAGGCAGAGGCAGACAGATCTCTGAGTTCGAGGCCAGCCTGGTCTACAGAGCAAGTTCCAGGACAGCCTCCAAAACAATACAGAGAAACCCCATCTCGAAAAACAAAAATTAAATTGTTAAAATTCAAGAATGACCTTGAAGTTAATCCTTATAATAATGATCCCTGTCATCAATCTTACAAAGGAAGGCAGTTCTGACATGCTAAGATATGGAGGAACTTGAGGTGGACACACAGCTAGCAGGTTCTCGCCCGTGTCTCTGTTCTTCTGACCTAGTCTCTAGGAGATTCTGTGCCAAGTGAGGACTGTGGCGGTATTGTGTTCTTATTCTATACAAGTACAGTGTGTGTGTGTGTGTGTGTGTGTGTGTGTGTGTGTGTGTCTGTCAGGGCGCACTGCAGTAATTCTCCTTTGTCACGTCTGCTGCGCGGCCTGTGTCCGAGAACGTGCGGAGGGTGTCGGAGATTGACAACACAGAGACTCGTTCAACGATATAAAGAAAACTTTAAACAGGCTCCAAAAAGGTTCAAGAAAACCTCCTAAGAAAAGCTCCCACCAGAGAAGCTTCTGCTCTCTCCTCTACCCTGGCTGGTTCTGCTCTGACCTCAGAGGTGGATGTGTGTGGGTTTTGAAGGTGCCGTTAGTCTTTGGACAAGGTCGAGGTCAGGGCGGTTTCCGTGGGAAGGCCTTTTCCAGGAACTTATTGTATCGTTTTTAGTAAACATGTTTTTACTAAACATTTTCTTACAGCTGCCTACTCCCAGGCAGAAGGGGAAGTGGGTCTCTGCTCAAGGTCTGGTGTTCCCACACTCCTTGTTTGGAATATGAAGTGTAGCCAGGCTCAAACAGAAAGTGGAACTGAGGTTACTCAGTCAGTCCCAGAGATGGGGAAGAAGGTCTTATTGAACAGTTTCAGTGTGGGATGAACTATTTTGGAGATGCTTACACTTAGAAATGCTTAAGGTGGGGAATGTTGTATGCACTTTA